TCCTAAAACCCCCATTAGAAACTACATGGTTTTGCTTTTTTTTTAAGCCATAAGCTTCTAAGTACAGAAAGAAAAGGAGAGATGAGACTTGCAAATGTAATATCTGAAGCTAGAAGGAAAAATGAATAAGCAACAACCAATTTAGCATAACTGAAAGCTAAATCCTAAATCAGTAGTGAAGTAAACCAAGAACCAATCCTATATTTACCACACAAAATGCTTAAAAGGCTCAGGAATTAGGGCACCAGTGGCACTGAAAGTGAAATAAAGGGAGGTTCTAAAATAAAGAGGATTGGTTCAAAGTAATCTGATCTCTAGACTGTCCTATTATACTCTAAGTCCAAGGGCAGCTGTCCTTTCTCACATGACCAGAGGTCTGGAGAGTTCTCTGGAAAAGGCAAACACAGGCACAGCTGAGATACTGAATTCTTGAGCATTAAGCAACATTTTTGCCTATGCCAGTACTATGCTTAAACCAAAAGAATATTAATGGAATACAGTTTCACTGTGTGCTGAGAAACACAGCCTCTTCTGAGAGTCTCTTCTCAGAACAGAGCCCTCCACTAAGGTAGAAGCTGGGGAGAATCTGGACTGGGAAATCTCACCAGCTCAAGGGGAAAGACCTAAAGATACTGACACCAAGAGTGCACTGAGGCAACGAAATCACTACTGCAGACACACCTGCTGTCCTGCATCCACAGCTGTGCTTGTGCCGTTCTTTCTCCATGATATGGCCTTGCCGGCAACCTCCATATGTCAAAATTACACTCATTCATCAAGAGCCATCACGAAGCTACCTTTCCCATGAAATGCTCTGCTAAATCCTCAACTTAATTAAAAATCATCTTTTCTTTCTCTGTGTTCCTGTGACAAGATCATCTCTCTCTACAGCAGGGTTCCCCAACCTGCAGGCTATGGACGGGTCAGTCCAGGCCTATTAGGAATCAGGCCGCACAGCAAGAATTGAGTTTGAATATAATGAGCTTGAATCATCCCAAAACCATCCCCCTTCCCCACCTCCATCCATGAAAAAAATTGTCTTCCAACAACCCGTCCCTGGTGCCAAAAAGGTTGGGGACTGATGCTCTACAACATTTACCACAGCCTGCCAACTGGCAGTTATTCATATGCAATCTATTCATAAAAGGGAAATGATCACTGGTTATCTGCTGTATGCCAGAAAAGATTATTTTACCCTTTAGAGCAATACTATTTAGGTAGCTACTATTATATATAAGGGAACTGGGACTGCACTCATCACCCATCTCTTACCTTCTCTTTTAAAGCAAAAACACCCTGAGGGCAAGAGCTATGTTTTGTTCATTTGTAAAAGTTTAAAACTTTTCTCATTTTTTAAAGATTTTATTCATTTATTTTTAGAGAGGGGTTAGGAAAGAAGACAGAGAGGGAGAGAAACATTGTTGTATGAGAGAGAAACAGTTGCCTCTCATAGGCCCACAACCTAGGCATGTGCCCTGACTGGGAATTGAACTGTCAACCTTTCCATTTGCAGGCCGGTATTCAATCCACTGGAGCCATACCAGCCAAGGTAAAACTTTTCTTACTTCTACTTAAACCTCTTTTTAGCCCTGGCTGGTATAGCTCAGTAGACTGGGTGCTAGCCTGCAAACCAGGAGGTTGCTGGTTCAATTCCCAGTCAGGGCACATGGCTGGGTTGCAGGCCAGGTCCCCACTTGGGGGTGTACGAGAGGTAACTGATCAATATATCTCTTGCACATTGATGTTTCTCTCCCTGTTTCTCCCTACCTTCCCTTGTCTCTAAAAATAAATAAATGAAATCTTAAAAAAGAGATAAACGTCTTTTTAGAAGTATATCTTACCTCTTACTAATCTCATAGCTAGAAAAATGTCTATTTGAGTCTCTTCAATTTTATATATTCATCCTATTTACTATTACTCTCAAAATATGTACTTGAATCACTATTCAAAAGTATAACTTTGTATATTATACAAGGGCTTCCTTCCTAAGAATACAAAAAAACTTTCTCAGGATGGAGGTGGGGTGCAAATCTTGCAAAAGAAAGAATATCTAAAACTAACCTGTTATAAAAACTTGAGGTGATGGGGATGTAAAGTAAAGAATAGAGAACATAGTCAAGAATATTGTAATAATTATGTATGGTACCAGGTGTGTACTAGACTTATCAGGTGATCACTTTGTAAATTATATAATTGTCTAACCACTATACTGTACACATGAAACTAATATAAAATAACATTAAATGTCAACTGGGATTGAAAAAGAAAAACAAAATTTGAGGTGAACTGGCCAGCAACTCTCTGGTTAGTGGACACTTCTCTTTTCTGCCCATAATTTTTTTTTAAATAAACTGTCAAGTTCATATTTCAAAAACTTCCATGTCTATGGCCTTATTTCCACAACTTTCAGAGTTCACTTGGCTGGATCTGGATAATGTGGACATAGGGACAAAGACTTTGTGTGTTGTGCAACCCCTTAATGGCTTAATTTCATCCCCTCCTCCTTACCATCCTATCCTACACTACCCCCACCACTGACAAGGAAGGTTCCTCCACAAAGCTTCATTCTTGAGCTGTTGTCAGTTCAGAAAGGCTTATGTTGGTTCAGGTATGGGGATAATGAAGATAGAAGCATTTGCCGTCTTTCCCTACCACAAATTGAGGCCAAAAACCAGAGGAAAATCTGCTCAACCACCTATATATCCAACACAACCTATAGAAATCTGGGACCTAAGGAATGGTGGTTTTATCCATAACCTTTTCCCATAGAGAAAAAAGTAGCTTTACTCTAAATAACAACAGGGGAGATCTACATGTCTTGATATTGAAAATCATTCAAAATGTTCTGCTAAGGGGAAAAAGATAGTTGCAAATTAGCACATATAGTATAAAACAACTCACAAATATTATTAATTAATTTGTGGGCCTATGTGTGTACATCTGTATAAGTAGAAAAACCTGAAAATCCAAAATTAGCAGTAGGCCTCACTGAAAGAGAGGGGTTATAGGGTCTTCCACTGTCTACCTTTCACATTTCTGCATTGCTTTTTTTAAACAAACATGTTTTACTTTCATAATTAGGACAAAAATTAGCTAGAGGAAACTACAGCCAAAGTGCAGAACTCCAGCTCTTACCTCCACTTTCCCAACTTCCTACACACACCACTGCCGCTCATGAAGGAGCCACTCCATGGCACAATGGAGACCTTTCTCCACAAAAGAAAAGAAAATGGCACAACTCTGCAAATAGCCTCCTCTGCCCTCTGGCTAATGCAAAAATATCAGAGTATGACAGTGAGAATGAAAAATTATTACCACAGAACTCACCAGGGTTCCCAGACATTACTGAATCACTTTGTCCTTCCTTTTCTTTGACTCTCTTTGCTTTCTTTTTAACAGGCCCATCATTCTGTAGTGGTCTCTTTTTACTTCTGTCAATTTCTGCAACCTATACAGGAGAATTAGAAAACGATGTGTTATCTCTAAACTCAAAACATGATATATTCAAACTAATTTAAGCCTTACCTCTGAATGACAGCAAGGTCCTTGCCATCCTCTTTCCTAGAATTATCTACTTTGAGTTCAGAAAAGACCTATCGGTCAATGCTTTTACCATCATCAAAGACAAGGTAAACACTGACAGGTCATGAGTCTCAGCATCTCAAGCCCTGCTACAATTATATTAGAACCAAGCTGCCACCTTACTTTGCTCAGTCAGTGTTCATTATCTCAAATTACATAACTTGGATTACTGTACCTACACATATTAATAAAATACCTTCAAAAGAAAAATATTTATTTAGAGGTGAAATCAGATAGACAATGAAAGAACAGTATCATTTCTAAAATATTAACTGTAATTTACATTTTATGTTCATCACTGAAGATGCCACAAGATCATGAACATTTGTTGGTAGGCAGCCTGTCAAAAAAACTTACATCCTTCACCAAATGCCCTCCAAATCACAGGTGGCAAACACAAGGCCCACGAGCTAAATCTGGCCAGCACCTTGTTTCTGCCCAGTGGCAGCGCCGAGCTCTGGTTTAACTGTTAAGTAAAGAGTGGTTACATTTCTACAGTCCTAAAATCACTCTCAGCCCTTTGAAGGCAACCAGGAGGCTGATGTAGCTCCCCACCCCTGCCCCCGTGAAAATGAGTTTGACACCCCTGCTCTAAATGGTGAGTATACAATAAAAACCTGATGAATTCATAAAAATGTAAACTATCATTAAAACAAAAACAGGAAAGAACAAATCACTCTATAGAAAAGATATATAAATTAAGAAAACAAGATTTTAAAGTAGCCAAGCTGTCACCCTCATTAAAACTTAGAGAGTGGTGGAAAGCCAATCTGCAATCACCTTTGACATCCTCAGTTTGAGAAATACTGTACCAGGGACCCAGTGAGGGTTCATCCCTGTGGCAGTGCCCAGTAAAAAAATAACAAAAACACAACTACTCATTTTACTCAGTTGAAGAGTGGCACCTAACAAAACCCATATAAATAAGATAAATAAAGCTTCTCTTCAACCTTCAATCCAGGTATAAAAAAAAAAGAGGGAGGTTGGAGGGTAAAAGAAGTATCCTTTGCCCACACACCCCTTCCCTCATCAGAATGGAAGTCATTAGACCTGAGTTCCTGACTCTGGTCTGCCATTAAGAATCTGCGTGATTCTCAGCCTCAAGCCTATCACCCCAAGGGGAAACTGTAATTTTTGAGTGCACTTAGAATGGAGAATGGCCTAGCTTTCCACGCTTTCACCTGCCCGAATCCCGCCCCTTTCTCTTCCGGCACCGCCCCCTCCCTAATTCTCGCGCACGCGCCCCGTTTCCTCCCGCTCTAACTTAAAGCACCGCCCGGCCCCCTCTCCCCGAAAACCCCGCCCCGTCCTGGACCAAACCCACCACGTGCGGCAACTGAGGTTGGAAAGTGGACGCTGGAGGCGCTGCCGAGTCAAAGTCAGGTTCAGCGTTCACCGCTGCACACCTAGAGGAGGAAGTGGATTTCAGGCTTCCCGTGGACTGGAAGAATCTGCTCAAAACCGCTTGGCTTGCAGGGGATGAGCCAGAGGCAGCCGCGCCGCCAGAGGCTGGCTTTCGGCGCGACATCGTGGGTCAGGGAGTAAGAGCCCGGGGACTGGGCCGAGAAGGAGCGCGAGCGCGCGACCCAGTTCCCGGGCGTCAGCGGGGACGAGCACGTCAGGACCCAGCCTTGCGCCGGGGCGGGGGGCGGGACGGGGGCGGGGTCTTGGGTGCACCAATGAAGCCGACGGGGCGGGGTGGCTACAATTTCGCGCCAAACTTTGTAGCGTACCGTTGTAGCTCGCAAGCTCAGAGGGTTTTTGTGCCGCCGTTATGGTTCGTTCCCTAAACTGCATCGTCGCTGTATCCCAGAACATGGGCATTGGGAAGAACGGAGACCTACCTTGGCCTCGGATCAGGTGCCTCGCAGACCGCGGATGGGTTGGTGTGAGAGGGCAAAGGCTGGCGCAAGCTGCCCTTGATTGAGGCAGCTCGGCCTGGTGGCACTGGGCGGACAAGCCGCGGGAGATGGGGTTGAACTAAGCTGCCAGGAGCTGGGCCTGGTCTTCCTTCTGCATCAGGAGCCGGGAGGCCAAGTTACTGATTACCGTCCCGTTTCTGCTGCCCGGCGAGGCATTTTCTCCGCTGCGCCCTGTCCCCTTGCAAAGTCCCGGTCCTGGAGACCACCACCGTCCCGTTTGTTGGGCGCGTTAGAGCTGGATGGAGTTCACGGGGTAAACGTTCTTAGTAACAGTGAGTTTCTCTAACTTGTAGGAATGAACTCAAATATTTCCAAAGAATGACCACAACCACTTCAGCAAAAGGTAATGGGGGGTTTTTAAGTGATTGAGATTTCCGAAGAGTCTTGCTTAAATAAGCTTACCAGTGCAGATTTTACTTAATTGTAAAGTTTTCCATGTTAAACTGGGACCTTTTGTCTTAAGATTTATCTTCATGAAGTTCCCGGTGTTTATTAAACTTTTAAGTTCTTTTCTGTGGGCACGAGTACGATTGAGGTATTGCGCAGAATTGGCAGCTAGGTAAGTTGGCTCTGGACACCAGAGGAGGCCTTTGGAATAGCAGCCAGAAGAGATGATGAAGCATAAAGGAAGGCAGTGGAAAGGATAAAAGTCCAAAGAACGGTTACATGATACCGGATTTGGAAACCAACAAGGTAAAGGTAATGCCAGGAAGGCATAAAGGATGAACTCTCATATTCTCAGTTTAAGAGTATGGGTGGTATGGAGAGTAGTGTGCAATCGTGATGATTTTGAGGTGCTTGTAGGGAATTCAGGCATACGGTACTGGGTGAATTGAGACACTAAGAAGAAGAGGATAACCAAGGAAAAGAATGTGGGATTGGAGAATACCCATTTAAAACCTAAGATGTATATTTGGTCATAGGAGGAGGAGGAGCAGAACAACAGGGAAATAGTCAGAAAGGAGCAGGTGCAACATAAGTTTAACAGAACAGGTGCAAACTTGGCACTTAGATCACTGATAGAGACGAGATGGCAAGAGCTCAAAGCTAAAGAATTGTCATGAACCACCCTCTAGTATCCTAAATAATCTGGTAATAGGAAACAAAGTATGGAAAGATACCTAGTCTTAGTACTTGTAGTTTGTAAATACTAGTGTTTTCTGTTTTTAAAAAATCAAGCTAATAATGATTCATTAAGAAAACAGAAAAATGCACTCCTTTTGGTAGTAGTCTGTCACAACATACTAAGAATCAGAACTGTGTTGCTTTGATCCAGATATCTGACTCACAAGCTTTTTTCTCCTAAATAATTAAACCAAAAATGGAAGCCATCTGTATAAAGTTTTTAAGTAAAGAAGCCCAAATTGAAAGTATTTTAAGCAAATTGAGTGGACTATTAAGCAGGTATGACTATAAATCTACAAAGTACACAAATGTGAATACTATTATATCAAACAGTTAAATAGTACTTTTTAGATGTCAGGCATTGCTCTAAGTCTTCAGTCCCCACCATACTAGACACAGAAACTACAGGGTGGGGCAAAAGTGGGTTTACAGTTGTGAGTACACAGAACGCAGTACACAGTTTATTCTTGTATTATTTATTAATTATTATTTTCCATATGTAAACAATTGTAAACCTACTTTTTCCCCACTCTGTATATTATCTCTATTTTACAGCTATGGGTAACACACAGAAGATTAACATGACTTGCTCAGTAGATAATACAATACGTTCAATTTGAACACTGACTCAGAGTCTTTGCTTTTCACTACTATATTATACATGACTACAGTTGATTAAAACTGTATTGCATATAAGTTAGATAAAGCCAAAAGGGGAAATAATTATTGTGTTTAGGTAATAAATAGTAAATTTTGGTAAAGCTGTTAAAAATTTTAATTTTTTTGAAGCCGATCCACTAGATGTCAACAGGACAATTATATGTATGCATATATACAAATATGTGAAATTCTATTTCTAAAATATATCTATTCTGTGTATGTGACTTTATAGGTAAACAGAATTTGGTGATTATGGGTAGGAAGACCTGGTTCTCCATTCCTGAGAAGAATCGACCTTTACAGGACAGGATTAATGTAGTCCTCAGTAGAGAACTCAAGTAAGTACTATAAAATAAATTCACCCCCCAAAAAATCGTGTTCCATTTCTTATGTTACAGGTCAGTAAATGTCAAAATAAAATACTATGAATGTAACTATTGATAAAGCTGCTTAATATCATGTAGGTGATTACAGAAAAGGAATAAATAGATATCTATGCCACATAATAACTTACTCTGCTATTTAAGTCACTGATTTTATCTCCTTAAATCTCATTGTAGTGACAGAATCGCAGGTTTCCTTGAACCATTAATCAATTCTCAGTAGGGTCAAATATCAGTTATATAATATAAATTAATAATTCTTTTTAGTTGCACATAAAATCAAAATACATCTGTTTGGGGACTTCACAAAATTTAGTTGCTATCTCTGGACCCAGCCCTAAATGCAATAAGATATAAATTTTAATATGGGCAAAAAAATTGGTCATAATCTTGTGCCATATTATTCCTAGTTTACCAAAATACCCAAATAGTATTTAGTACTTCTGTTCTTTACTTTGTGCCTGTAGATTAAAAATTTCAGCATATTGAAATGGTCCTAGAGATCCTAGAAGAAGGGAGTATGTCCATTGGCCTCTACTAGGAATTTTTCTGCCCTCCAAGCTGACCTAGTTAGTTCCTGATACCTGGAAATGAACAGGAAAGTTGGAGGGTTGGGGGGAGTCAATAACATTGAAACTACCCATGAGGCTCTGGCTGGTGTAGCTAGGTGGGCTGAGCTTGGGCCTGCAAACAAAAGGGTCACCAGTTTGATTCCCAGTCAGGGCACATGCCTGGGTCGCAGGCCATGTCCCCAGTAGGGGGTGTGCTAGATGCAACCACACACTGATGTTTCACTCCCCCTCTTCCTCCTTCCCCTCTCTCTAAAAATAAATAAAATCTAAAAAGAAAAAAAAAAACTACCCATGAAGTCAGCCCCAGTCCTTTTACCTTAACCATGGCTTTCATGTCATTTATTCCACATGTGACTTATGCTGATTTTCTATATTTTTTTGTTGTTGTTTATATTGATCCTAACCCACTAAAATAATTTTCTGAACCTCATGTGTCTGTTTGTTTGGGGGGTGGTTGGCCTCAATTAGATCTTAAGGAAAAGTTTAGAATTGGCATGGTAATCATTGTTTCTTAAACTACTAATGTAATCAATAAAAAGAATGCAGTCATAAGAAATATCTTACAAGGAATTGAGTTATATAGTTGTGGGGGCTGGCTAGGAAGGCCCAAAATTTGTAGGGCAGGCCACTGGGAAGGGGAGGCTAGAACTCTTCAAAGGCTAGAGCTGATGTCTACAGGTAAAATTTCTTCAGGGAAGCCTCAGGCATGTTTTTAAGGCCTTTCAATGGATTGAATCTGGCTCACCTAGAGTAAGGTCATCCAAATAGCAACTTCATAGTGTCTGAATATCTGAGGACTATAGCCTAGCCAAGCGAATACATCAGAGACCATCACACCATGGGAAGAAAATAACATTGCATAACTATAGGCTAAGGGAGTTCAGGCTTCTATAGATTTTTCTCCCAGATCCCTCCGAGAATGGCATAGGTAAAAACCTGGAAGAAAGTGTGCCGGAATACTTGCATTGATTGTCTCTCAGGGATAAGCAATATGTTGATGTGCATCTTACCATCTGCCTCAATCTTCATACTCTTCTCTTTCTCCCGGTTGCTAGGATATTCTGATTATCTTTTTACTTTGTAGAATCCAAATAACAGACTGTATTGCCATTTTCAGAGATTCTTTAATAACATATTCTTGAATACTACTCAAGTTTATTTATGGCTAGCTTGAGCTGAAACAAACATAAAGAAATCTCAGTGGGAGAGATGTTCGCTTAAGCCAGCAAATCTCCTCAAATGATGAGTCTCATTTCTTCTTTATGACCCTTCTGTGGTATGTGTAATTGGGTTTGGTTGTTTATTATACAAGGTCTATCCAGAAGGCATCCAGCCATGTAATATGAAGAATTGAGACATTTATTGAAGAAGATACAAGAGACATTGCACATAGGACAATAACGCCTCGGTCCCCTTCAAAATAGGCACCTTGGGACCTCACACAGTTCTCCCAATCACCATTGGCTGCCGCGTCATGTTGTCCTGAATCTCACTGATGGTCTGAAACCTCTTCCCTTTCAAAGGTGATTTTAGTTTGGGGAAAAGCCAGAAGTCACAGGGCACCAGATCTGGGCTATAGGGTGACAGAGTCACCTGAGTGATTTGATATTTTTCAAAAAAACTCTGCTGGACACATGATGCTTGAGCAGGTGTGTTGTTGTGATGAAGCTGCCAATCACCAGTTCTGAATATTCCAATAGTTTCCATGGAGGAATGTTTAAGCTTAATGCAAAATTTGATGCAGATTTGTTGCTCTACTCACTCAGTCATTGCAGATGTGACAGCCACACAGCACACATGCTTGCTTACTCATTGGCATCTACCACCCCCACTGACTAGTACAGTGAAGTCCTTGTTGTTCACACATGTACATTCCAGTCCACTCTCGTAGCTGCCAGGTTATACCAGTGTAGTACAAACCAGTCTCATATTAACCATGGCTGGGCTGTTTCCGGACAGACCCTGTATATTTTTATATAACATTTATTGGCGTATTTCACTTTTTATTTATACGCAGAGAGAAACTTTAAAGTCTTTATTATCAAGCATGGCAAGGAAAAGGGGATATCAGTTGGGGAAAAATTAGTTTATTTTTTATCCTTCCGTCTGTTTCCCTGGTCAGTTGCCAGTGAGCTCCACACATATCCCGAGCACGTGCTGTCTCCCAGGCACAACTGGGTCTGGAACAAAAGGAGAGATTTGCACATGTAAATCATTATTGTTCCTGTAAGTTTTTAGAGACAACCTCTCACCACCACCCTCACCCCCATGGAGGAAGAAACTAAATCCTCAAGAGAATCCCAAAATTTGCTGCCCCATCCTAGTTATTTTAGGTAACTATTTCCTTAATAAGTTCTAAGGGAAAAAAAAGCTTTTCCATGCCTTTCTACACTATCAAGTTATGGCTCTAAAAGAAACGCTGTACAGCCACGTTTGGAAAACAGATTGGCACTTTCTCAAAAGGTTAAGCACAGAGTTGTAGGTCCCAGCAATTCTCCGTCGTAGAGAAATGAAAACATTAATATAACCACACAAAAACTTGTACACAGATGTTCATAGTAGCATTATAAATAACATCCAAAAATTGGAAACATCCCAAATGTTCATCAGCTGATGAACAACAAACAAAATATGCTGTATCCATACAATGGAATATTTATTATTCAACAATAACAAAGGGTATCTGCTACAACACAGATGAACCTTGAAAACGATATGCTAATTTAAAAAAGCCAGAGACAACAGACCACGTAATTCCATTCCTATGAAATATCCAGAATCGGCAAATCCATAGAGACGGCGGGTGGGAGAGGAGAGTAACTGATAGTGGGTACAGGGTTTCTTTCCACAGTGATGGCAATGTTCTGAAAATGGACCGTGGTGATGGTTGCACAGCTCCATGAACACACAAAAACGTTAACTGAATCGTACACTTACAAGGTTAATTGTAGAGTATGTGATTTCTTTCTCAATAAAGCATTTCTCAAGGTCCTTGGAATCAAAAGTTAAATTAAGAAACTTTACTGCAATGCTGTAGCTTTGACAGCATCTTTAGGAAATCCAAAATTGTCTCCATGAAATAAGTTGTTATAAATTGTCTTCAATCCAAAAACTACCTAACATGAAATGTTAGATAACTTTTTTTTTGTGGTCTCACTATCATATTTTCCAGTGATTAAAACTTTCCCCTCTTCTCAAAGCTGCAATTCCCTCTCCACTGCTCACGTGCTTGATACAGCAAAGACTTCCTGTGCTGGCTTCCGCCCTGGCACTATTAACTTTGGTTTTAGGCTTTATTAACTTCAAGCCTTGCTGAACCTCACTTTCCTTATCAGCTAAATGGGATTAATAATGACAGCATCTTAGGGCAATTTTAAGGACTGATTGAAATTTTATGTTATAAATTTCTGGCACACAGAAGGTACCCTACAGATGTTAGGTCCTACTCCCCTGACCTTTGCTGTTTCAGCAAAATAGCCTTGCTTTATAGCTTATAGAAAATATTAATGAGAGCACAGTGAACAGCCTCATGACATCATCATTTTCACCTTACCATACCACTTTGTTCTTATGTCCCTTGATCTTCAGACAAAAAAAATCCCCTTGTATTAAAATCAGCCCTCTCCTCACTCCCATTGCTTTATTCTAGATCCTATTTTTTTCTGTCTTTCAGACCTTGCTCTCTCATCTTACCCTTTTCTATTTTAAATCTTACCACAGATTGTTTTTCTTCTACCCTCAACTTCCTTGGAGCTTTCTTGTGTTAAATAAGTTTAGTAACTTTAGTATAAGCCTCAATAATGTCTTTGGTGGTCTGTCACTTCTGTATTTTGCTCATGTTTTTATCTCCTTCGAGACTCAGCTAAGGGATCACACTCCAAGGAGTATTCTGCCTCATTAAGCCACCCAGATGCTGCACCATCTCTTCGCCCATCTAGCATCCTCCACATACCTCCATGACATGTTCTTTTCACTTAATGGCCACTGCTGAGACATTTCTGCACCTGCCGTTGCCACCTTTTTGGCACAGGAAGTGCTTTTTTTAAAAAAAACATTTTATTATTTTTAGAGAGAGAAAAACACAGGGAGGGAAAAACCAATGTGTGGTCACCTCTTGCATGCCCCTTCCTAGGGACCTGGCCTACCACCCAGGCATGTGCCTTAACTGGGAATTGAACCAGCGACCCTTTGGTTCACAGGCCAGCACTCAATCCACTGAGCCACAGGAGCCAGGGCTAATTTCTATAAATATTTTTAGTGGCCATAGTATTCAATTATGAGATAGAATGTACTTGAATGAATTTTAAATAGTTGAATATCACATTTCTAAAGACTGGGTATGAAAGATGTTAAATTAAACATTTAATCAGAGTTTGCATTCTGATTAAATGTGATTCTAGCCTAGGGCTTTTTTTTTTTTTTTAATGCTTTCCCAATAGTCCCCAGGGAAACTGGGCCAGGATTCCATCTGCCATGTCATCTTCTTTGACATCAGGCACAGTGGGAAAAAATAATGTTTATAGGGTACCTGGGGGATAATCAGGTGAAGCTGCGAAAGGCCATAAGACACAGGTGTGAGGGCTCTGCCTAAATGAGGCCATGCTGTCCTTGAGATCTGAGGAAACCAGAAACTGGCATCCTTGTCCCCTATGACCACCAGCTGAGAACATATTGTCAGTGTGAGAAGTTGCAGCTCAGGCTCCAACATCAGACTGCTGGAATCCCAATGCCAGGATCACCATTTCGTAGCTCTGTGGCCATTGATTACCTAACCCATCTGCCTCAGTATCATCCTATGTAAAAATAAGCCTGTGTCCTGTGGACCTACACAGGGCTACTAGTAACATGAGATGGTATGCGTGTAAAGTGCTGCCTGACCCCACTACTTGAGAGAGCAAATGGGCACTTCAATAAATGCTAGATGTTTTCTTCCTAATACAACTATCCATCAGGTAAAAAGCAGCCTCCCCTAAATAGTGCTTTTAAAGAAAGGTATGAAGAATAGTATGATGGGAGTGCCTGCTATGTGCGCTGTAACTTTTTATGCCACCCCTCTGAGGTAATTCAGGGCTCTACTTTCGAAACGGTACCAAGCGTGTCCACACGCTTCTTGACACAGAATTTGTATGCTACTACATACCAACTCCCCATTGTCAGGGAATCCAATCTCTATTGATTTGAAATAATTGAAGGAAATTTAGCAATGAAATAAGTGACAATATTACGTGCTTGCTCTGTTATTTACTGTGTTAGTTCCTAGGAATTGGGCTGTAAGGAAGTTCGTGAGCTCAGCTTTGCCTCTTCTTTTCTCTCCATCTGGGAGTCCAATGTTTCCTGTGAAACTTATTTCTAAATACCTAAGTAGCAACATTTGCAGCATTTCGTCCTCCTCCCATGCCTTTGTTATAACTAAAGTCTTCAATAAATCCCTTAACCTGTTCTTTGTTTTCCTTTTCCAGACTCACTACAAAAGAGCAAAGTAGTAGTCTTTAATCCCCTAACCATTTTGAAGCCATTGTTCCATCTTCTGCACAAAATGATTGTCCTCTTTCTTTAAAGTCCACACCCTTTTATACCACCTTGTAACTCAGTCCACCATCTTTCTTTATACTCTATCTCCTGTCATTAGTCCTGACTTCAACACCCTCAGTTACTGAAACCACCCCGATTCTGTTTCAGTTACTCTAGGCATTGTTTATTAACTGAACTCTCTTCTCCCCCAACTCCAGATCTGTTTCTTCTGGATTCAGTTCTCCCCCTGAGCAGCATGCTCCAACCTCATCACTGCAGCTGCCCTGGGACCTTAGAGCATCCCGTGGCTCATTTAACCTCTCCCTGGTGTCCATGTCTTTTTCCAACCTTTACTCAAAATGTACTCTTTGTGCCATCTTAACTCCTTTAGAGATGATAAAGAGGGAAGTACACTATGTATCAAGGAGGTGAGGGAACCAAAAGAATGAAAGCTTAATTCTGCATGTCTCTCATTTAGAAAGCAAATTGCAATCGTCTACCCAAAAAAAATAGTTGTGGAGTTTGGGAAAGATAGAGCTACTCAGTGTACACCGTGAAATTAATTAGCCTTTTCCTTTTTGGATTTTTAATTACAAAAGTAATGACATGCTCATTTTTTAATACTTCAACCATTTCTGTATTATTTGAAACAAAATTTCTTTCCCCACTCATGCTGTATTAAGTTTGACCATTTGAAAGTAGTCATTCAATCATACTACTTTTTCCAATATTTTGTCATGAAACTTTCAAATGTAAAAACCTTGACAGTAAACACTTGTGTAGCCACCTCACAGATTCTACCATTAACATTTTACTGCATTTATTTTGTCATTCATCCATCCCTTCAGTTAGACTTGCTCTTGTTATGCATTTCAAAGTAAATTGCAGTCATTAGTCTGTTTTCCCCTAAATACTTCAGCATATACATCAGTAACTAGAGTCCAGTATTTCTTTTTAGTGTTTTCCTTTTGAGATAATTATCACATACAATGAACTATACAAGTATTCAGTGTACGTTTGCTAGGTTATGACAAACGTCTGCACCTGTAGAACCCTGTATCAACGATATGAAACATTCCCATAACCCCTAGGACGCTTCCGTATGCCCCTTCCCAGTGATTCTTTGCTCCATCCCTCCAGTGGTAACTACTATTCTAATTTCTTCCTACCATAAGTATCTCAAGATATCAGAAATGTTTTGTTTTTTGATTGATGGTGGACCATACATATACAGATGTGGGTTAAATTATTTATTTGCCATAGGCCATACTGATGTTAACTTTTTTGTTGAAAGAATTCACATTTATGGTGATTTTTGTTTTACAACTATTGCATCCTATATACAAACTATCTGACTAGTATGAATGGCTTTTGTAGAAACTATGTATAATTCTTTTGATTAACCTCAGGGAACTTCCAAAAGGAGCTCATTTTCTTGCCAGAAGTCTGGATGATGCCTTAAACCTTATTGAGGAACCAGAATTAAAAAATAAAGTGGACATGGTTTGGATAATAGGAGGCAGTTCTGTGTATAAGGTAAGTCAAGTTATCTGTAAACATTGTACAAAGCAGTGTTCTACTCTCCGGTCTTTCAGCTTCCCTGCCATCTGCACATTGTAAGTCATGAGGAAGCATATTATCCCTACTCTAAATCAAACGTATTGTCAATTAGAATTATTTGTTTTCTGACACTGTCAGAAATGATACTATGATACTATAAATAAAAATACTTAAATAAGTTTTTAAGTCTTTCCCAGTTTATTTCCAATACGAAGTAATTTATGTGTCCGGTACATTCTAAACCCTTCCCTTAGAATCGTGCTTGGACTGTGCTGCCTTCTCCCCCCGATGTGCCCTGATACACTGAGTTATCCCTTCTCTTCAGGGTTAGTGTGTCTCTTCCTGAGAAAGTGATGAGCTCTCGGTTGATACGTACTGGCCAGATGTGTCTGAGTTTGTTAAAAGCAGACAATAGTGCCTCGACAATTTTCACGTAATGTGAAGGGATGGGAAAAGTATTATTTTATATCATAAGGGAAAACAGATAAAGGAGAAAATGTTCCTCATTCTTGACCTGTAGCTTTCAAAAATTTTGAGGATAATAAAAGGAATTTTCTTACTCTTTTAAAACACTCATGAGAGATTAACATTTACAGGGAGGGGAAAAATCAGTCCCTACCCTTTGTGGGCTTGTGGTAGGTACACTGAAATCATTTGAGAAAAAAGGCATACCAGGATCTTAGATGGGGTTACAAAAATACTGTTTTTTAGGTTCCTGTTTCTACAACCTTTTAAACAATATAAATACTGAAATTCACTTATATAATTTGATATATCTATATGTTGTAAATGATAAGAAAGTAGAACCTCCAGGTTATAATTTTGCATTATCCGCCCACCTCACATCACAATAGCTATCACAATAGCTTGTAGAACATTTAGGCTGCTCTTCTCACGGGCCAAACTGGGACTACTAGCCTGTTTTTGTAAACAAAGTTGCATTGGAACACAGCTACGGCCATTGGTTTAGTATTGTCTGTGGCTGCTTTTGCCTAAAAGGTAAAAGAAACCATATGACCCACAAAGCCTAAAATATAGGGTGCTATAGTGATGCAAAGGGTACCATCTGACCTTTTGCATCACTAACTTTGACATAGACTTTCAGATGCTGCTGTGGTTAGTCCTATTCAATTTTCCTAATTTTGGGTGCATTGAGAATTGGTAGAACATTTATTTGTTTGGGGCAAGAGAATAAATGATATAATACTACAAGCCGTAGAGTTGAAAATAAAAAGTCATTTATTTTATGCCCTTATTTGAAAATTTAAAGATAACAAACAACATTTGAAATTATATTTCTATGTGTGTATATATTGTTGCTTTTTCAGTCAAGAGTTACTGCTTCCTCGGAGCTGCACTTAGGACTCATGATTTTGTGTCGACAGTACTGCAGGCAGTAGTTAGAAAAGTCATTAACAATATGAAGCAAAACACAATCATTAGCAACAAGAGGCAGAATAAATTACCTACAAGCATTGTAACTATCTCCTGAGAAATGGAAGCATTATTAAATTTTGTGTAAATGTACTATGTATGCCCTTGGGATTTTCATTAGTCAAGGTCTCATGAAATTATACTATCTTACCCATATATGCATATGTAAATTTTTCTATAGCCAGTAACTTAATCATTCAGGGTTCTTATTTCTTAAACCACCAGTGAGGAAAGACAAAACTGAATGCTTAAATGAAAAAAGAGTTCATGTAAGCAAACAGAGGCCAGAATATAGTTTAACTCACTCTCATAGTTATCAATAACGATTAGTGCCATTCTCAACACAACTAGGGCATACTTTGCAGCGCTCCAAAGTAAAGAAGAGGGTATTTAAATAGCATTCTTTGGGGGTAACAGGTTATGTAGCATGTATTGACTACATTACAAACTTGACTACATTATTAAAACAAACAAAAATCTTGCATTTCTATTTTTCTTGATACAGATAAATAAGGAAATTGATGACTTTTGTTTTATTTCAAAGGAAGCCATGAACAAGTCAGGCCATGTTAGACTGTTTGTGACGAGGATCATGCAGGAATTTGAAAGTGACACATTTTTGCCAGAAATTGATTTGGAGAGATACAAACTTCTCCCAGAGTAAGTATCTGAAGCACTTTTAGATTTCCAGCTTACAGACTATAGGAAAGAGTATGTCTACACATTGAATTGGGGGTAGCAATATATTTTATATACAAATACTATAGAAATTTTTGGAAATCTGCTTTAACAGACTTGGGAATGTTCAAGTTTTAATGATTTTACTGAAATCTAAAGTAGTACTTAGTTCATCCTGTGGGATCTGTGCTTAGCCTCAAACACTGAGCTGGGCATTGGGGAGAGTATTTACCCAAACAGATGCCGTTCACTCTTCTCCAGGAGGTCATATTTTGTAGCAGACAGGTAGAGTGGCAAATAATAGATAAACATCGAAAGAGTTGCCGTGTGGAGAATTGAAATGCTGTGATACGATAAATAACTCCATAGTCTGAGAAGTTCTTTCTGAAGAGTGACGTCTCCACTAGGATCTAAATGACAAGAAGCCAGCCATGCAAAGAGTGGGGAAGAACATTCCAGACACCAGAAATAGCCAGTGCAGAGACCCAATGGCAAGAACAAGCTTGGCATGTTCCCCGAGGCTTGAAAGCCACTGAGGGCATTGTGAGCAAGGGGAACGCCCAAAGGGATCAGACCAAATGCAGGTGTAGAGGGTCCTGAATTGAGTGATGTTGTTGTAGCTGTTTATGGAGAACGGGCCAGCGGGGACAGGAGTGAAGCTGGGAAACCAGTTAGGTACAGTAGTTCAAGTGAAGGATGAAGGGACTTAGGTAGCAGTGGTAGAGATGGAAAGAAGACTTAATACTTGCTTTACTATGTAGTTGTGATTTTAGCATGAAACTGCCTGATTTTGAAAACAAATAGCATTTTTGCTAAAAACACTTTCAGCTTTAAGATTAATTGTATCAACACTTTCAACTAGCTTTTAACATTCTTTTAAATATCTTCAGTTGAACTCAGTCATTATTCTTTGAGTGTGTTTTTATAAATACCTCCTAAAAACATTCAGAGCCAAGTGTGAATAAATGAATGGCTTAGCTTTAAAATAACAGTTTATAGAGTAATAGGTAGTAGTTTTGAATCAAATGAAACATGTGACAGATTTTCTGGAGCTCTTAACTAGCTCTGAACAGCTCAAGTTCAGGCTTTTGCTTACAGTTTCCAAAGGTGACTGCTTAGAAAAGTCACTCTTACTAATTTCATATATACTTATGTAAAAGTGTGTGTGTGTTTCTTTGCCGCACTGTATATATTTCCTTTCTCTTTGCTAACTAACAAAAGAGTAGATTACTGTGTGAATCGGCATCATACTAAATACCCTCCCAAATCCTATTCTCAATCAGACCTCTTCCAAAGCTCTGACCCTTTACATCCCTGATAACTTAAACACCATTCTGGCTCTCTGACTCTTAGAAATGAAATATTTAACATGTTTACTGAAAAGTGATTCACACATCACAAATTCACCATTGAAGGTATATAATTCAGTGGTTTTAGTATACTCACAGGATTGTGCCATTATCACCACAATCTAAGTTTAGAACATTTTCATCATCCACCATAAAAAAACATGTACCAGTTAGTGGTCATTCTCCATCCCCTACCCTCCTAGCCCCAGAAACTATTAGTCCATTTTCCATCTCTATAGAGACGCATGGGGAATGGGCTTCTTTCACTTGCATACCACCTTTAAGTTCATCCATGCTGTAATACAGGGGTGGACAAAAGTAGGTTTACAGTTGTGAGTATATGAAACACAGTTTATTCCTGTATTATTCTTTATTATTGTGTTATTTTCCATATGAACAACTGTAAACCTACTTTTGCCCATCCCTGTATATATCAATGTTTGCCTCATAGATTTTCTCCCATTATATGAATTGTTATATACTTTCTTTATACTCCCATTACACTTTTTTTAAAACGTTTTTTTAATTTGTACTTTTTTTTCTTTTCACTTTCTTAATAATACCATTTGTAACTCAAAGGTTTTTAATTTTGACGTACATTATTTCTATTTTTTCTTTGGTCATTTGTCCTTTTGGTGTTACACCCAAGAAACCATGACCTAATCTGAGCTCACAGGGATTTACGCCTATGTTTTCTACTTAAAAGTTTTATAGTTTTAACTCTTACTTTAAGTCTATCTATGGTCCGTTATAGGTAATTTATGTATGGTGTAAGGAATGGATCTAAGTTCGTCCTTTTATAAGGGCTATCTAGTTGCCCTAGCACCATTTGCCGAAAAAAACTATACTCTCCCCCACTGAATTGTTTTGACACCCTCATCAAAAATCAGTAGACCGTAAATCTGAGGGTTCATATCTAAACTCTCAGTTCTCTTCCATTAAATGTCTGTCCTTATGCCAGTACCACACTGTCTTGATTAATGCCACTGTGTAATAACTTCTGAAATCAGAAACTGCCAGTCCTCCAGGTTTGTTCTTTTTCAAAATTGTTTTGGCTATTCTGGGTCCTTTGCATTTCTGTATGAATTGTATGACCAGCTTGTCAACTTCTTACAAAAAGCAAGCTAGGATTTTGATAGGGATTGTACTGTATCTTTGCATCGCTTTGGAGGGTACTGCCAAACCATGAACACATGTCTTTCTGCTTGTTTAGGACTTCTTTCATTTATTTCAGAAACATTTTGTAGCTTTCAGTGTACAAATATTTTATTTTCAAACTGTTCACATAGAAATACAGTTGGTTTTTGTGAAGGATTAGTCTTATATCCTGCAACCTTGCTCAACTAATTAGTTTGAACTGTTAGTAGATTCCTTAAGTTTCTATATACAGGATATATTAATATCATTTGCAAACAGAGATGGTTTTACTTCTTCCATTGCAATCTGGATGTTTTTAATTTCTTTTTCTTGCCAAATTACCGTGGCTAGGACCTCCAGCACAAAGCTGAGTAGAAATGGCAAGGGCAAGACATAGAGGGAAAGCATTCAGTCTTTTACTACTGAGTATGATGTTAGCTGTGGGTTCTTCACTGATGCCCTTTATCGCATTGTAGATCTCTTCTATTTATACTTCACTGAGTGATTTTTAATCATGAAATGGCATTGGACTTTATTAAATGCTTTTTTCCTGAGTCTATTAAGATTATTTGGTTTTTGTTTTTAATAAGACAAAATACACCAATACTTAATACACTATTACATTGCTTGGTTTTGTGTTAAAATAATCTTGTCTCTAGGATAAATCCACCTGGAAGTAATATGTGGTAGCCCTTTCTGTGTATTCGTAGATTCAGTTTGCTAGTATGTTGTTGAGGATTTTTTCATTTATATTCATAAGGGATATTGCACTTTAGTTTTTGTTGTTGTTTTTGGGTTTTGGTAATGTCTTCACCTGGTTTTGGTGTCAGGATAATACTGGCCTCATAGAGTGAGTTGAGAAATGCTCTCTCTCTCCTATTTTTTTTCAAGGAATGGTGAAGAATTGGTATTAATTCTTCTTTAGATGTCTTAGAAAAATGTAATGGTGTGTAGATTCAGATAGGAGATTGCCGTATAAATCCAAAATCCAAAAAAAATGCATTCAAAATGGACCTTCTAAACAGAACTATTAAAAGAAAATAAAAAGTCCTTGTTTCCATTGCACAGTTTGACTGTCCTCTTGCTTTCAAGCCTGTGCCAACATGATAACGACAGCCTCTTTAACTCGGGGTGGAGAGAATCCCCTAAGCAGAGGTCTGGAGTAGGCCATCTTTCTCCAAGTAGAGAAGGAGGAAATCTCTGAAGACAAAGGGAATATACTTTATCCCTGGAAGTCTGTAACATTGCTCAATTCTTAAGATGTTTTCTCTCCAAATATCTGTACCTTTGGGAACTTAGAATTGCTCCATACTGTCCAGAAATGAACTCTGCATTCTTTTTTGTTCCCCATAGCAATCACTTAATGTATCCCCTCATTTTCCCAATCAGTAGGCTTCTCGTGGATTCATAGGTTTCAGTTCAAACAGTCTTTTATTAACACCATACTTCCTGGTAATGAAAGCACTAGTATAATGAAATCAAGATGAAGAAGCAGGACATTTGTAAAGAATGAAGAGAATAAAATTAGAGTATAGATGAAGCCACAAATGGTGGAAACCTAAAAGCAAGATTTTATTTATTTTTAGAGAGGAGGGAAGGGAGGGAAACAGAGAGGAACAGAAACATCAATGTGTGGTTTCCTCTCACATGCCCCCTATGGAGACCTGGCCTGCAACCCAGGCATGTGTCCTGACCGGGAATTGAACCAGTGACCCTTTGGTTTGCAGGTCTGCACTCAATCTACTGAGCCACACCAGCCAGAGCAGAAGTTAATTTTAACAAAGTAACATGTGTTTACCTTGTATCTGCCTCCCCACCACCATCACCACTGGGGGCCATTGTCTGTGTAGTTGTTCATTTGACAGCACCATGCCAGCCTGCCCTCTAAGCTCTGCCCTCATCCATCCTGCCAGAAGAAATCTGCCTATATATCTCAGACTGTTTCACGCTAGGCTCCAACCAAACCACCAGACCCCAATATTTTATGCCAGCGGCTTTTTGTTTAATGAGTCTCAAAGAGGCTTCTTTTTCTAGTTACTCACCTTTCGTGTGACCATTCCATAAAAGAGGATAAAAGACCTAGGCCTTGGAGGCAGTAGTTGGCTCCAGAGTTGGGACAGATGCCCCTTATGGACAACCTCAAGTAGGTTTCAGACAGACTGATGTTTCCTCTTCTTACATTCTCTTTTTTTTTTTTTTTAAGATTTTTACTTATTTATTTTTGGAGAGAAGGGAAGGGAAGGAGAAAGAGAAGGAAAGAAACATCAACATGTGGTTGCCTCTCGAGCACCCCCTACTGGTGCCTGGCCCACAACCCAGCATGTGCCCTTGACCGGGAATGGAACCCATGACTCTGGTTCACAGGCTGGCACTCAATCCATTAAGCCACACCAGCCAGCACTGATGTTTCCTCTTCTGTCCTCATTACTTCCTGAGACTGTCCAACAGGACCCTGGCATATCTGTCCACTTGTTTGTACACTTCTCTCCTCCTGAGGCTATGGTGTCTATGGCATCTTCATTTTGTTTTAGTTGTGCTTTGTCTCCTATAGATAACTGTTGCAAGAGCTATATTCACCTATTTCTTAGACTTTCCATCAAATCACCTCTGTATTATTCTCACAATGCTTTGTCAGTTCAGATCTTATGTTTCTTTTATTCACTGGCTTCTGAAATGCTTGAAGGTTCTAGAGGGGAATCTCTATCTCGGTGATTCATAACAAATAGGAGGCTTTTCCTTCAAATCCTGTTAGACTTAAACTCAGTTCAAATGTAGATCTTAGGCAATTTGCTCTTCAGAAAAATTAAGAATTATAGTTATGAGGTGGTTATAATCATGAAAACAGACTGAATGTGTGAATATTATGGAAAGTAAAATTAATCTTAAGCAGAATTAAATTTTAGTTTTACAGAGAAGATTATCATTAATACTATGAGTAGTGAGCCTCTCCAGCCAGTAGCTATTTCTAAATTCTTATTCGTGGTTTTAGAAATAACTTTGATACTTTACTTTTATCTTATTAACTGACAATCTAGACAGTCTTGATATACACACAAAAATATACATGTTGTTTTTGGTGACTTATTCCAGATATGTTAAAATTATGGTTAAAACTTGGCCTACTAAAATCATTTCTTTAGAAAATGAAAAACTATTCAGTTACTAAAACAAACAGCTCAGAAAATGCTTAGTAAATAGAAACATAGCCTCTTTCTCTGAAATATAAATTATTCAAGAAAAAAATCTTTCTTTTCCTTATTATGCTGTTATTTCATGTATATAATTGTTTTTATTAGAATGTCATAATTAGTCAACAAAAGTTTGATATCTCTTTTTTGCTTAGTTTCTTTTGATTTTGCTTTAGGTGTGGTTGTTAATAATTGTGAGTTTGCTGTCCTTTTACTATACATGTTTTTTCTTTATCTTCTTTTCTTAGATAAGTCCCTTTAACATTTCATAAAATAAGGGCTTGGTGATGATGAACTCCTTTAACTTGACCTTATCTGAGAAGCACTTTATCTGCCCTTCCATTCTAAATGAGAGCTTTGCTGGATAGAGCAATCTGGGATGTAGGTCCTTGTCTTTCATGACTTGGAATATTTCTTTCCAGCCCCTTCTTGCCTGTAAGGTCTCTTTGGAGAAATCAGCTGACAGTCTGATAGGAACTCCTTTGTAGGTTACTGTCCCCTTATCTCTTGCTGCTTCTAGGATTCTCTCCTTCATTTTTACCTTGGCTAATGTAATTATGATGTGCTTTGGTGTGTTTCTCCTTGGGTCCAACTTCTTTGGGGCTCTCTGAGCTTCCTGGATTTCTTGGAAGTCTATTTCCTTTGCCAGAGTGGGGAAGTTCTCTTTTATTATTTGTTCAAATACGTGTTCAATCTGTTGCTTTTCCTCTTCCCCTTCTGGTACCCCTATAATTCGGATGTTGGAACGTTTAAAGATGTCCTGGAGGTTCCTAAGCTTCTCCTCGTTTTTTTTGAATTCTTATTTCTTCCTTCTTTCCTGCTTGGTTGTTTTTTTGTTCCTTCTGGTCCACTCTATTGTTTTGAGTCCCAGTTTCCTTCCCTTCACTATTGGCTCTCCGTGCATCTTCCTTCATTTCTTTTATGGTAACCTGCATTTTTTTTCATGTAATTTATGCCCAAAATCAACCAATTCCGTGAGCTTCCTGATCACCAGTGTTTTGAACTGTGCATCTGATAGATTGGCTATTTCTTGGTCGCTCAAAAGGATGAGTCCTGGGACACTGATCTGTTCTTCTGTTGGAGACATGTCTCTGTCTCTCTTTTCTCTCTCTCTCTCTTTCTCTCTCTTCCGGTCTGGTCACCCTTGTTACAGTGAGGTGCGGAGCCTTAGGTAGTTACCTGAGCTGGGCACCCCAGTCGCTAGATTGTGATGTTGTATATGGGGGTGGGGACGGGAGGGAACAATGGTGGTAGCTCCGTTCTCCTGGGATCTCAGTCCCTTCTCTGGGATCCTGGGTTGCGTGCTCTGCCCTGGTCCACAATGCTGCCTCAATGGGTCCACCAGCCACCGCTTGCGTACTCAGGGTCCACCCGCTGCATCCTGGTTGCAAGGCACTTACTGCTTCCTGTAAGGCTTACACGCTCCCGGTTGCCTTATGCACCCAGTTCTCCCCGATTTCCGCGCACCCGCTCCTCCTCTCAGTCCCTCCTACCTGTCTGGATGAACGGGTCTACTTCAACTTCTTGGCTGTCTGACTTCGATTCAGATAAATTCTCTGTCAGTTCTGGGTGTTATTCTGCCTCTAAATTGTTGTTGTTCTAATCTTGGTTGTGCGTGGAGGTACGGTGCATCTACCTATGCCTCCATCTTGCCGGAATTCTCAATATTGCTTATTAGTCAGTATTGTGCTGGATGTCATAAGAGACTTAAATTTTTTTCCTGTATTATCCCTGCTGGCAGTGACTTTAGGAAATAGGGGAACAAAACAAACTCCTAATATTAATAGATATCACTTGTAGAGCACTTAATGTAATGTGCTCACAATACTAAACTCTTTATAAAGATGAAGACTTTTTATTGACAGCCAAGTATCACACAGCAGAACCAGAGTCAAACCGAGTAAAACAAACAGAGTAAAGCAGGTTCCTGCCCGACCTGGACCGGAGTGGGATGAGCCCACACAGCACAAAGGAAGTGCGGCAGGATTTGTGTTGGAGACTAGAGGGGTCAGAACAGCCTTCAGTGAGAGACCTGGGTTTGGGTTTTTTTGTTGGTGGTTGTATTTTATTTTTCTTTTCCTCACATAGGAAAGCTGATACCAAGTCAAAGACTTACAAAATGTTATTAGGAAATGTTATATTAACTGGGTTATAGAGCGGAAAGATAAAAGAGAAACAGCTAACAGCAGTTAGTGTTTGGGAGAAGAATTAGGAATCAGAAGGAAAGGAGAAATTATACTTTTTGTTTTTCAACTTTCTGTACAGTTTGAAATTTGTCTTCCGTTTATTTATGTAGTATATTTGCATAACCACCAAGCTTAACTGTGGATTTTGTGCCTTTTGGCTGAGAATCAGGGAAGTTATCTTTTTGATTGATATATTATTTAATTATATATATATTTCTTTAACAGATACCCAGGTGTTCTTTCTGATGTCCAAGAGGAGAAAGGCATTAAATTCAAATTTGAAGTATATGAAAGGAATGATTAATATGAAGATGTTCTCTGATTCATTTCAAGTTGTTTCCCAACCCCTCCAAACAATTAATGTATTTAACATTAGAAAAAGACAGTTCTGCCCTGGCTGGTGTGGCTGAATGGATAGAGCACCAGCCTGTGAACCAAAGGATCGCCGGTTCGATTCCCAGTCGGGGCACATGCCTGGGTTGCGGGCCAGGTCCCCAATAGGGTTTTCAGCCGTATGTTGATGTTTCTCTCCCTCCCTGTCTCTCTCCCTTCCTCTCTCTCTCTAAAAATAAGTAAATAAATAAATCTTTTTTTTTTTTAAATAGAAAAACAGACTTTTGTTGACTCTAGATCTATGGATAATTATTTATAAGCAATGTGTTTTTATTAGTCCATCTTAACTAGATTTGGTTAAGATTAATCTTAACTGTGCTCTATATCAGATACCATTTGTGAAACATTTCTTGCTGTAACTGTCTGAATGTCCATCGAGGGCCAGCATTAGGTCCCTAGCACCTGCCCAGGGTAACATAGTACCCAGGCACCACAGTGGGAGAGTCTGCCGGTAGGGTGAGTTGAAACCCTGGCCTATAGAGATAGGACCTTGTCCAAATATCAGAAATGAATTATAAACAGAATAGTTACAACTCAACTATTAAAAGAAAACTAGGTCAAAATGGGGACCATGAATTACTCTGTGCATATCACACTTCCAAAAAATGTTCTATTCACTCAGGGAATCAGTAAGTTGAGAACTGCAGTATATTTCGTAGGGATAGTAAAGAGGCAAGTAGAAGACTACCTTTGTGACGATTAAAAGAGGTGTCTGAGACCTTTACAATCTCTTTTTCTGATCTTGAGTGAGATTCCATGGGATGACACAATGAAACAAGAATGGGCTGCTTTTCATGCAAAAAAGTAATCCAATAACAAGCATATGGCTAAAATTAAATATTTAAAGAGAATGGATATTCCTAGAAACCAAAATTAGTAAGAAAATAAACTTCATATAATTAAAAAATGAATAATAAAACCTGTTTTACCCATCATGTTTGCAAATACTTGGATTTTTAGGTGTCCAAAGAAATAGAATTTTCTGCCTTGTAAATTGGTACAGCCTTTTTAGACAATATCAATTAAAATTCAAAACAACCTAATCTTGGACCCAGAACTTCCAGAAATTAATCCTGAACAAAGAGATGGGCCCAAGAGTGTTTGTTGGACCATTTTCTTGATTTGGAATAGTAGCCAAAATTTTTAATGTAGGAAAAATTATACACTAAACTGCTGAGAGTATCACAGTTGGATGTGTTATTTTATGTATTAGGTACGTCTATTGTGATCAGATTCTTTGAAATATGTGCTTATTTTCATGAAAAATTAAGCTGGTAAGTTGAGCCTTTTACATTCAGCAGTAAGATTAGACACAGAACATCAGAAGTAAAAAGGAATTTCCTAAATACCTTTCATAGAGGGGAAAAGTATCACACAGAAGATTAAAAATCAATAGTGCATAAGATTTACAAACCACAAAAAAACATGCGCTCTCTGCAAAGAACATAATCAGAAAACTATTAGTATCCAGAATTTTTAGAACTCAAGATATTAATAAGAAAAAGAAGTAAGCTGTTTGGAGAAGAGGAACCTCAAGTGCCATAAATACATGCACAGACATACATTCCCTTTAGTAACTGGGACATGCAAATTAAAACTGCAGTAAGGTACCATTCCAGGTGTGGCATTCTCACCAATACTTGACACTCAGCCTTTTTAAATGTTGACTATTAAGGATGAAGACGCACACACCTCTTGAGCCAGCAATTCCACCCACAGGTAAATACCAAGAGAAAACCTACATATATATATGAAGAGAACTGTAGAAATACGTTGCAGTCTTGTCTTAGTTGAAAAACTAAAAACAACCTGGAAGGCCAGCAACAGGAAAATGCATACATTAGTGTCTTAGATTGGGTTTCCCCAAAAGCAGATCCCAGGACTAAAATTTAAATAAAGCACCAGTTGGTATGTAGAAAAGGGAAACTTGGAAGGTAAGCCAGTTCAAGGTCCGTGAGCAGGTTCCCATTGGGTAACAAGCTCAATACTACTGAGATACCTTCTGAGAAGTGGAGGGGAAGAAAACGAGTATTTATCCCCTACTGATCCTTGGAAGCTATTCCCAGGGTCACCAGCGCCCTGGCCTGTGTATGGGCTGAACATACTTCAGCTGTTAGAGCTCCCCGGGTGTTTGCATTGAGAAGGCGCTGGACTGCAGAGGGCTGGTCAATGCTAAACATTTAAAGCAATTCCATGTTTATGATTATGTGTGTAAGATCTTCATTCTTCTGTAGTAAAAAGGATAAAACCAGAAGTAAAAAGGTTTGTTAAATTATTTTAGAATTTAAAAAAGTACAGAAGCAGAAAGGCCAATTAGAAGTTCAGGTACAGGATGATGGTAACTTGGATCTGAGGGTTGAATATAGTAAAAAACTGACTCAGGATACATTTTGAAGTTAGAGGTAATACAATTTTCTGATGGAGTTTGATTTTGGTTTTGGACCCACCAAATTTGAGATGCTTAGAAGGAAGGAGAGAGGGAATAAAAGAAAAACAAAACAATAAGGTCATGCCTTAAATTCTGAGAAGAAAGTTATTTCCAACTGATAAAACAATACTTAGCCAAGTAATCAAGTACAGTTGAGGTTAGGGCAAGACAGAGCAGGGGACTTTTTAGTTTTTACTTAGACTTTTGGAACCATTTTTTTTTATATTTATTTAGTAAATACAGTTATTTCTTATTAAGTGGTACTAGTTCATAAGTGGTAGCCTCCTGTTATTCTTTGGACCTCACATGAAATTTCAAAGACTTATGGCAATTCATCTCCACAGTCAGCCTAAAAATGTAGAAAGAAAAACATTAAATCAGCTAAGGGTCCCACAAAATTCCAAAGACCAGTTACTGGGAAACCATCAGCCTTTCTCTCATGGTGCCTGGTTTATTCATCTTTCAAGAGAGAGTCAAAGTCTTACTTTTTCCAGACTGATTTATGAAACAATAAGGTGATGATAATTTGAGGCAAAAATCTAAGTAAAACACGAACATGTGCTAAACATTCAGGTTAGCACAGTTTTGTGGGATTGAAATTATGTAACAATGGCCACATCCAAACAGCCATATTTCTCAAAATGTCACCCCTGGTACCTGTGTAAGGCATTTGTAACAAACAGCCCCGATGATCCTGAAGACTGGGTTGAAAATCACTGAGTTAGAGTGCTTGTAAGGAAGAAAAACAATTGAAATTTTATTTGCGGGCTCTAGGGAATCTAAATAAAGCAAAACAAAAACCAGCAAATTATAAGAAGTCAATCTGTATGAAACTGGAGAAAATAAAATTACAAATATTAGATCTACATGTTGATCTATTTTAAGAACTGAAGGCTTATTAAATATGTAATAAAATACATATGAAATTATCAGTAGCTCAAGAAATACACAGTAAGCAAACTTGGTAACACATGTCCTATGACAAGATTGTTTTTTAAGTTAATAAAACTAAAAACTATACAGCAATGACCTAATTAAGCAACATAACTTGATGAGGGAAAGGTTGGCAGGCCAGCTCTTTTTCTGAAAGAGTTCAGAAGAATAATGATTTTTGGAAGACTGAACCATGTGATCAAAGGATGTTCCATCTGGGAGATAAAAAGAAATCCATAATTAAATGAGTGCCCAGAATAGAATTAGAGACTCGATGAAAGATACCACTCGTGAAGGGGATGGAACCTCTGGCCAAACAGAAAAGAAGCCCTAAAAATCAGCCTGACGCTGTGCTGTTCCTGTGACAAAAGGTGAAATCACATCAGTGGCCACTTCTACTCATCTGCTCCTGCCCCTTCTGTTTCCCAGGACCAGCAGACACGTGGCGCATGGACCAGAAAGTGTTTCTGTATTACATGTCATTTCTGTCAAACCTCTTTGTTCTTGGAGAAAAAAAGAACAAATCACATTGTTGTGTGGTATTTCAAATAACTTTGCAGTCAATAAAGTAAATATGAAACTTATTTGGGGGGAGACAAATTTTAGGTCATCTCTACTTCTTCACCCCTGGGCCATAGGGACACAGACAAGCCAAACCCTGAAGGAATAAAGGGCTAGTCTGCCAGGTGGAGGAGACCTGATGACTCTGGAACTCAGGAAGTGAGATTTTCTGCACCTTCCCGGCACCCTGAATGAGATGGCCCCTTTTCCGGCCCCTGGTCATAGCCTCTTTCCAAGGGCCAGAGTCTGCCAGCAGGTGGGTGTTCCACTGCCAGCTCTCTTTGACCGGTGAATCAGCAAGCTTAAACTCAGATTCTGCCCCCAAACATTTTATTATGAACCATTTCAAACACAGAAAAGTTAAAAGAATTATACACTAAACACTCATTTACCCACCACCGAGCACATATTTAGCCAGCCAGCCAGCCATATACTTAATATTTTGATGCATTTCCAAATTGTAAATATCAGTATGCTTCATCCCTAGACTTTTCTGCTTGCATATTATCAACTATAGTTCAATATTTGTTTACTTTTCTGAGTAAAGCTTACATAATGAAATGCAGGTCATAACTGTAACATTCTATAGGTTTCAATGAAAGTATATGCTTTTGTGACCCAAACCTCTGTCCCTCATTCCAGAAAACTCCCTCATACTGCTTCCTGGTCAGTCCCCAACCCCCAAAGGCAACCACTATTCTGATTTTTTCTTCATTAGAGATTTTTGTTTTGCCCACTTCTAAACTTCATATGACTAGAATCACAGGATGCACTCTTAGCCTGGCTTATTTTACTCAATATAATTTATTTGTGATTCGTCCATGTTGTTGCATGTATCACTGCTTTGTTCTTTTCCATAAGTGGTGTGTTGTATGGCCGGCCATACCTCGTTTCATCCATTCTCCTATGTGGGCTATTTAAAGTGGGATTTGAGCCTGGTTGTGAAGGATCCAGAGAGGTGCTGGCTGAGGGCGGAGAGGAGCATACATATATATGCTCCAGGAAAAGGAAAAGCCATGGAGAAACTTCCTCTCCAGGTGCCAAAACTCAGGACAAGGAAGGGTGGGTGTTGTCGGGCCCCACCTTGTTGAGTGCCAAGTCCCTACTCCACCTTTGAGGTGTCTCTCAGTTAGCTCTCTTTTTTTCATAACCACATCTGTGTCAGAACTTTATTTTCTCTCACTTGGACT